TGTCATTAGCACCTCTAGTAGTATATTTACTGAGAAAAATGGTGACGTGTTCAATACTTATTTTACCCGCTGTAAGTGTGGTTAACAATTCAGAAGTTGAAAGCTTGTTATTGTTGGTCCCAAAACTTTTATAGGAAATTAATTGTTCACAATCAAGTGTACTCTAGTGATCCTGTATGATTTGTAAAATAAACGATCGCAAATTTTTTGGTTCAAATCAACATTCACTGACAGGGTTACTTCTTGTGTCCATTCGTTTTTGCACTAGAGGAATGTTTACCCAAAATAAAAGATCCTTGCTAATTAAATTACTCTTATTACCTTGTTATAAGAAGTGTAAGACTGAACCCTTACATTTTTGTCTAGGATTTGCAGAGAAACACAAATCTCTTGTGGAGATTCTGTAAAGATTTTATTCACGGACAAAAAGTTGTTGATTTCATGATTAACATCACTTTCATTTTACACTTCCATCAGACATAGTTTATGTGAGTGGGTTGTGTGTGTGTTCATTGAAAGCAACATAATTGGTTTGTCAATCTGTACCATATTAAAAACATTTGAGCACATCAAGCATCCGAGTCATTTTTTTAATCTTTTGAACAGATTTTTATAAATTTATCATGCACTCCAAAGTAAATCTTGTTCACAGATAATAATAATAAAAAAATAAAATTAACTGAGTATGTTTCTGAGTATTTTCAAATTATCAATAGGTTTGGAGTTTGGGATTTAAGAAAAAAAATTGTGTTGCCATTCACAAAAATAAAACACTGGTACAGTATATACTATATTATGAACTCTTAAAATACAGGTCATTACACAATATACAAAATAGATTTTTTTAAAAATTTAGGAAAAAAAAAACAAAACGTCCTCCAGTTTACCATTAAAACAATTTCCTAAGAAGTTTTTATATTGTACAAACAACAATAAGGAGTTACGGAAGGCACAGCTAAACAGTTCATACAGAAATGTAAAAGCAAGTAGAAGAAATCATTTTTTATGGTTTGTGTTTTGTTTATAAAGTTTTAAAAAGTGTTCAGATAAGTTTGCATAGATTGTCGTTTCGCAAAATTTCAACATGCGTGAAAAATCTGGAGCCAAAAACACATTAAAACCGGAACTCCAATTATCCAAGAAATACTTTTTTTCATTCAAAAAATGCATACTTTTCACTGAAATCATAGTATTTACTGGAATGATTTGATTTCACAGAGGTTAAGTCAAACACAGACTCTGATTTGTTTTTTTCTTTTTTGTTCCCCCACAGCACAAAGATCACWCTGTCCCATCCTAGTTAAAGTTTTTAGTTTCACGCCACCTTCAAACCAGCTGCAGAGGTTACACAGCACAGCTCTAAAATGAAACTAATAACTATGTAAAATAAAAAAAAAGAGATTTCTTTCCATTCTCAGTAAATCTCTTGCGTTTCGGCTCTTGCAGAGTTAAATAGACTTTAGCAGATCTCTGGCTATAAATATGGCTTCTGATGTGCAAAATGTTTAGAATAAGGTTGGTGCAGCATCCCTGGTCCGCCCCAACGAGCTGCACCAGCTACAAGCAGGACAAACTGTGGCAGTGCTGGATTAAGGCACAAAGAAGAGACGAGAAGATCGGTATAGAGACGAGAGGAGAAAAGGTGGAGCAGCTTTTTATGACAATTAGATAAAACGTGAACACTTGTGGATCTTTGATCGTCATACAGTAGATAAACCAGTAGGGGGSGCTCTGCTGTGCCTGGTTTTGTCTGAAAAGTCTTTGAACCCACAGGTTTAGCGGTTGCTCCTCATGGCCTCCTTGGCTGCCAGGATGAGCGGAGTGAGGCTGGACAGAGGCTTGGCCAGCTTCAGGAACGGATCCTGGCAAGAAAAGACAAACAGAAAAAGAACGTTAGCTTCAGATATAAAATCCAGTCTTTAGAATCAACATCAGAACAGAACAGAACATCAGTCTCAGCTTGTCTGTAGTCTAAGCCAACAGACCTCATCTCAAAGTGGACATATGATGCAGGATGATGATGAAGTATGTTTTCGGCAGTGGTGGGAACTAGTCCCCTAAAGTGCTAATCGGAGACCTAAATTTCTTGTTTGCTCTTTAATGCTTTTGCTAAAATTTTTTTGAATTGTGTGTGGATTTGTGCCTTCTAAATTAGAAAATTCAGTAGCTCTAAACAAATTATTTCATCAAGTATTGATGGTCGTTTTCTTTAACAGCAGAGGGAGAAAGCTGTCTCAGGTCAAAACAATGCAGACCCACTGAGATGTCTGTCTGTTCCCAAAGGTTATATACTCTGACTGTCCTTCTGGGTCACGGTTTTCATTTGAGAGAAACTTCCCACAATTCTTTGCATTTACGGGGCAGGAAGCAATTGGAGCTACATCACYGGGCGACACTCCCAGCCCTTCTCCACCGACGTGCCTGTTGTGGTTCTGCTCGGTTCAGCCGTCAAAATGTGTCTCCAGGTTCCAACTAGGCATGGGACGGCATGAAATTATGACGGGATGATAACCGTGGGCAAAATTATCACAGTTTCGCAGTATGACAGTATTATGATTACAGCTCTAAAAATTTAGTTTTGAAATTTGTATTTAAAAACACAAAAGAGAATAACTTTTAAATTTCTCCTATATTATTAAGGTTAAAAAGCTTTTTTTCCAGCCAAGTAGCCCACCTAAAAATAATTGGTATTCCACCTACATACCAGCGAAAAGCAAGTTAAGAGAAGCAGAGACGTCAAAAARTCCATCATTTTAATTTTGGGCAAACAGGCCGGCTTGAATACTCTAAGACACTAATAGATTTTGAGTGCCATTATCTGACTGTAGGCACAAACAATTTAATTAGGCCACCAGGACCATGGATTGTCTAAATGCCACCATGTTACAGAAACAAAAATATAGTGGCTGGTAAAAAGTTTGACTGGCCGGTACAAAACTTTTCCTACCAGCCACTGTGGCTGGTAGGGGTGTAAGAAAATATTGATACACTGAAATATCGCGATATTTCATTTCCCGATACTATATCGATATTCTAAAGCCCTGTATCGATTTTTTATTAAGGTTTAAAATGTCAACTTTCCTACCAGCCATTCATTTTTATGTTGTAGTTCAGCCTCTGACCACTAGTTGGCAGCAGTKAGCCAGYCATTTGGCTCCTCTACCTCTTGAGCGCCAGAGAGTAAGTGTAGCATTAGCATTGTGAGTAAACATTAGCTTCGTGCTCCGATAGCTGAATCTGAGCAGAAAAGACCGACACCCTCCCTTCTAAGCTGAGGTAAGGTTACAAACAGTTACTTATTTATCAGAATGTCTGTATTTTAAGACAAATTAAGTGTTTTGTGTGCTCTTTTTTCCAACTGTAGTCAGCTTTCACGTTACGCATATAGCGCATGCGTCTATCACCTCGAGCTCAGAACCAGTTTCATTCAAATCTGTGCAGTGGTTTCTGAGATATTTTGCTAACACTACAGACAAACATACACAGGCAGGCAAACAGAGGAGTCCTGTAAACAACTTTCACTCTCTCCGTTAGTGCAAACACACTGATGCAGGAGTCTAAGCAATGAAATACAAAATACTAATGCCTTTTCAGACTCATGTATTTTTAAAAAAATCACTTTTTAGACTGTGTTAATAAAAAAACAAACAAAAAAAATTAGAAAAAACATTGGGTTATTTTAAAACGAAAGTGGTTTCAGTCGCCTCCTGTATGAACAGCAGAGAGCTTGTTGTACCTGCAGTAGTTCTCTGCCTGAGCCTCGTTTCTCCACGTCCATCTCCAGACAGCGAGACAAGAAGGACCTGAAGACCGGAGACAACTTCTCTGGATTCTGCAGCTCAGGTGTCCCATTGGTGGCGATTAAATACAATGCCTGAAACAAGCGGAACGACACAGTTAGACACTCYGGGATCAGATCTGGATTCCACAGGAACATCTTTCCATCACACTGTAAACTTTATAACAAATATAAACCAGGCTTTAGTGATATCACTGTTGAAATGTGACAAAATGATGAGTTTATGTAACAAATGTCTTCACTCAGCTTGGTGAAGCTTGGTTCTAAAGCTAGTTGAATTTAAGCTAAATGAAAAAATCCTAACCCTGGGCTCAGTCAAACAGTTCTTCATCCCAGGAAACACTCACCCTGAGTGGGTTCTCGTTCAGATACGGGGGCTCTCCCTCCACCATTTCAATGGCCATGATCCCCAGAGACCAGATGTCCACTTTGGGTCCATAAGCTTTTCGGGTCACCACCTCTGGTGCCATCCAGTATGGAGTCCCCACCATGGTGCTGCGCTTGCTCTGCTCGGGAGTGATCTGGGCACAGAAGCCGAAATCGGCTGAAAAAAAAAAAACAAGGGAAAAAGAGGGTTGATTTTATTTCATCTGACATGTTAAAAAATATACAAATTAACTAGAAAACGATTAAAGCTCTAAAATAATTTTGTAATGTGCCAATGCAGCTCCTGCCCCAAAAAACACAAAAAACTTGTGGCAACTTTCTGACAACTTGGGCTCAAACTCGCAGCCTCAGGAGCACGAACCACTGAGCTACAGCGCACCCCTGATGTTTGAACTCAGATGTGTAGGGAGAGCCAAGATCAAAAGAACCATATGTACATATTTGTCACTCACTGACTGCCAGCTTAATAAAGGCAGACAGAAACAGACTGAAAAGTAAGTCTCAAACCAACTGCACCTGTGTGAAAACTAGAAGTCAGATCCATAGACTTGAATATAGATCACAAAACAAGACACCAACACGTCTGCTTGAGAGAGTTTTCTGATATGCCTCACAAAAACACTGTTTATCTCTATCCTTTTTTTTTTTTTTTGTGGCAGTATTTTACTAGCTTTGTCTTTGTTGTATTAAAGTAACGTTGGTATCTAAACCTAACACTATTGTTTTGATTGATTGATTAGTTTATTCAACAGACTCACGGTCCGTGTTGACATAAAATAGAGACAAAACAAACATGATACAAAACAACAACAAAAAAGGAAAAACTTATAAAAGACTTGCAAACTAGTATTTCCATAAAGATGACTGGTAGCTTAATGCACTCCCAGAAGTATGTGACAACATTAAAATAAGACTATTCTTGGATTTACACAAACAACACATAAATTTGTATATTAAATTTCTCATAAGTGCTTGAAATGTCTTGACATGTGCGTTACAAAACATCTCACTTGCACTACTGAATCTGGGTTTTTTAAGCAGAACTCTCAAGGAGTCATTATAAGCAACTTTGAGCTTCTGCATACTTGCTTTTTTAAATTTACACCACAAGGGGGCAGTATACAGAGATGTACAGCAAGGTTTGAATGAACATATCTTTACATCATCTGAGCACATATAAAATTTCCTCATCAAAATACTGGCCTGGGCATATAATATGCTACACTGCCGATCAATGTCATCATCATCATCACAGAGCAGCGTGACCCAGATATTTGGTTTTAGTACAAACTTTTAACTTTTGCCCCGACAGAAAAAAAATCAGGAAAACAAAGTTCTCCGTCTGCTTTAGTCCTGCATATTAGCACAACATTTTTCTTGGCATTATACTACACATCATATGTTAAACCATTATCAGAGCAGACATTCAATATTGTCATCACAGTTGTRTGTTTTTGTGTAGATTTTAAGTAGTAAGTAAAGTTTTATTTATTAAGCACCTTTCACAGAAAGATAAAATGAAACAGAATTAAACATAATGAAACATCCAATCAAGATTAAATTCTAAAATTGTAACTCAGACACAGTCGAGGCAGAGCATGACAAGAGATGAGTGTTATGTACGCAAGACTGTACAAATCATTAGGGGTGTCCCGATACCGATACCAGTATCGGTATCGGGTCCGATACCAGCATCAAGTACTCATACTCGTACTCGTAAAAGCCGGCCGATACTCTTAACCGATACTGCTTTTGTCCCATTTTTTGTTCCTCCTGTGCTGCGCTGCAGCACAAAGGGTAAACAACAATCCATACCAGGCGGTGGCGCTAATGCACTGACAAGTTATTTCCGACCGCACCCCCGAATAACAGAAGAAGAACGATTATGGTAGAAGAAGAAGTAACGTTGGCAGTTTGGAGATATTTTAAGATCGGCACGGAGGACACCCAACAAGCAGACTGTCTGCTGTGCTCTGCTAAACTGTCGAGGGGAGGAGCGAAAGTTGGATGTTTTAACAGCAGCAATTTGATTCAACATTTGAGGACAAGACATGACAAGGAATTCAAAGTTTGCTGCTGCTAGCAGTAGCCTTCATAAACAGCACTATGCAGCAGTTGTTGCAGTAACTTCAATGATGTTTTTTCTTTCTTGTAGAACAAAAAAAGACATAAGCAGAATATGGAAGGAAGTTTGTTGTAAAAGCATTTTATTTTTCACTGTGGTTCTTCTGAGATTTTGTTTTAGTTGTTCCATTTAAGTTTGAACTGAAATTTACTGCACTTTATTACTATTAGTCATTTTTTTAAGTTTAAGACTGAAGCAGAGTAAACTTCTATAGATGTGCTGCTAAAATTTACATTATAGTTTACATTTTAATTTAAATTTGGTAGTTGCATTGAGGAAAATGTATAAAAAATAACTTATTTTGTTTTTTAATGTATGCAACAGCATTTGTTTTGCAGTATTTGTATTGTTAATACATTCAGAGGGAGTGTGGCCTTATAAAAAAGAGCCCTGTTTGAAATAAAATAAATGGTTTCAAAATTTATGGTGTGATAAATATATACTAACTTATCTACTTGTCAGAGTTTGCACTACCTTTTTATTGTCAAACATAATATTTACCCATCAATTTTTGCATGATAATTGCATTTCATTTTCATTCTGTTTAATATTCAACAAGTTGAACAGATAATCCACCCTAACCCCGCTACTTGGTATCGTATCGGTATCGGCGAGTACCTAAACTGAAGTACTCGTACTTGTACTCAGTCTTGAAAAAACTGGTATCGGGACACCCCTACAAATCATAATAAGAAACTGTTGAATAAAAAAATGGGTGGTGAAAATTATGCTAAAAATACARTAATACAAAAACTGAGAGAAGGGGGGAGAGAAAAATATTAATTTAAATGTTTTATTTAAATGTTTTATTTCAAAGATGCACAAGGAGAGACAAAAATGATATATATATTTTACAAAATAGTAATGGAGCAAGGCTGTGGGAAATGGGGGTGCCGAGTGTGCTGCAGCACCACCTTATGGCATGTATGTTTACAAATTCTATTTCTGTAATATTGAAATAGACTTTTTGTTTGGCTTTATGCTCCTTTTTCACTTTAAACATTCCCACAACTGTAAATAATGGTTACTCAATGCTCTTATTTTTTTAAAAYGAACGATTGTTGTTTTCAGTTTTAGAAGCCCTGTTCGAGAAGTGAAAATGTGTGTTAGTGTGCATTTCTCCTCACTGAGTTTGACTGATCCGTCCATCCCCAGGAGGACATTGTCACTCTTGATGTCTCTGTGGATGACCTGGTTGGCATGAAGGAACTCCAAAGCTTGAAGGACCTGAACACACAAGAATAATACCGACGTATACAGGATGAAAGAAAATGGCCTCAGCAGGTGTTTTCTCATATACGAGTCGACATCATTTCATCGAATTAAAATTAGTAAATCTAGCCTTTTGTTAGGAATGATTTAACAAAAGTTTCACGTCTGAGTTACCTCTCTGCAGACTGCAGCGATCTGAGCCTCGTCCATGCACGTCTCTGTCACAACATCGGTCAGAGATCCACCCGCCAGGTACTCCATTACCACAAAAAGCTCGTCTCCAACCAGGAAGCTGAACACACACAGACTCCGTGATGTGAATCGATCCCTGCACGTTGGACTCTGTGTCTCATGTCTTAGCCTTACCTGTCCACGAAGTTTACAATGTTTGGGTTCTTCAGCTCCTTCATCACTTGGATCTCATTGATAATCAGCTCTTTCTTTGGCTGCTTCTGTAGATTGATCTGTTTGATGGCCACCTGTAAACAAACAARACATGTAAATATGTTTCTGCAGACAAACATTAATCTATCGGGGTATCCGGATCTGTATCCTAAAATGTGAATATTAGAAATAGATTTGGTTGGAACTAGTCCTGTACTATGGAGCACACTAATGGGAAACATAACAATAATAGGATGTCGCTCATTAAAATGTAGTGTGCTCATCTGTGAAGTTATAAATAACTGTGGTCTTCATACTAAGCTGTTCACTATAAACCTCTTCATGACTAATGTGGGGGGATCACTGTTACCTTTTACAGTTTTCTGTTTGAATAACGTTTTAGTTCATTTTTGCCAGAGGACCTCGTGTCACAAGCTGCCGACATGGTGACAGAATGAGGCTGAGCTTCAAAGGTAATCAGTGGTAGGTGTGTCTTTATGACAACGTTCTGAAAGTTTCATAAAAACAAAATAAACCTGAAACTCAGTTCGTGAGAAACACTGCCAAAGAGCTACAGGGATCCACACAGTTCATCCAGATAAACTAAACCAGGGGTTCTTAAACGTTTTGACCTCAGGGCCCAATTTGTTGAACATAAAGTGTCACGAGGCCCAGTCGGACTTTACCAATGTATGGATCAAAATGATATTTATTGTAATCTAAATCTTGGTTTAATTTTTATTGTATTTACATCATAACTAAAGTAAATACACTTACAGTTTAAAAGTAAAACTCCTGTCAAATAATCACAAGACATGATTATGACAAACATTTTTATATTGTAACCTGCCCATAACAATTATTTGAACAAATACAAAAGGTCAGTCAACAGACCACTCAGGTTTATCAG